GTCGTACAGGGGTACTACACGGTAAAATAAATCTCTTCGGCGAAAACAGGATAATTTAGATCGAACTTCACTTGGTAAGTTCGTTTGATCATCTAAATACGGTGTATTAAGTAAAGACATGTGTAAATTACCATAACTTTTTATGTAAAATTTTGGACTTGTTGCTGAAGATTGTACATTAGGACGCGTTCCCGAAATGATTATCCATGCATGTATATTGATTTTATTTAAAATTTGCTTTATTAATTAGTTATATTGTTTGATGTACACACAAAACAAGTTAGTTGAAGTAATTTATTATTATTATTTTCTCAAATAAGTCAAGATTAAGGACATTAAATTGCTAGCAAAGCCAATTCTGCACCTTGGTGATTTTGAGCCTTTAGTGCTTTTTAAAAGCCTAATGCCGTTTTCACCATCTATCCCAAAATTCCTGTTATGTTACCATAGAGGTCACTTATAAATTAGGGATTGGTGGTGAAAACCGGCATAAGGCTGAGTTGCACCACCTTAATTTAACCGTAACGATAACATTATCCTGTGCTTTTTGTATGGAGTTTGACAGATTTCTGACGTTTGTCAAAATTAAAGTAAGATCGTGCAACTCAGCCTAACTATCTATTTGCAGACAATAAATTACTTTTGGCAACTTAAATGCAATAGTTTTAAGTATGGCTTGTACAGTCACTGCATATTATTCAGAAAATATTTTTATTATATAAATAGCACTTATTATAACTGAATAAAGTTGATAATAGTCTATCTCGATGGCGTGTTAAAAATCTATTAAAATGAGTAAAGCGCTTTAGGTTAGATAAAGTAAAAGCAATAATGTAATAGTTTGAAAATAGATTTAGAAAGGCAATACTTTTGATTACACAAAAAACGAAGGCCAATTTTGTTCTAAGAAAACGTTTTCGCCTTTTACTAATTACTTTTTATATAACATAAAAACAATTTATTTATTATTTTAGGAAGAATTTTCTTATATTCTCGTTGAAACATCTTAAAATAAATCTTTTCTGTGTTATACTTATTTTCTTTTCGTTATTTTACGAGCCAATAAGCTTTACTTAGTTTCAGACCAGAATAACGCCCGTATTCACAAACATTACTATGAGGTCTCACAGTGCGTGTGGACGCACAGGGTCACACACGAACCAATAACAGAGTTCATTCGTTTGATTTGCTGCTTCACTTAAGCAAAAAAGATTATGAGACATGTAGAGGCTTAAGAGCAAAATGACGATTTGTAAGAACTATTTATTAGTCTAAACAAATACCTAAAGAAATTTTGACTTTGACTTTGACAAGCATCGTTTGTGAATACGGGTATAAGGCTTGGTGTCCACGAAAGCGGAGAGAAGATGTTTGATAAATTCCCCATCACCTCTTCGCTCATTTTCTGCTCAAAAATCTGATTTTATTCAAGCACATCCTCTCCTCTCCGCTTTAGTGTAAACCGAGCTTATAATATCCAAAAACTAATGCAAACCATCAAAAAGTATTGTATCCTCTATTCCAGTATCAAGATGTCACGCGCAGCGTCGTTCGCGCAACGATGGGCCCAGGACAACTTGACCAGACCCCCCTCAGAAGATGAGCTCACAGTCCTCAACCTGTTTCCCATCACCTGCGATGGAGACGAGGTTGAAGCTGCCAGGAGAGCCCGGAGGTACTACAAGGCTAGAGGACCTGGAGGACTGACAGAACTATGGCATAAGAGATACCCTGATGACGAGGATATTTTGTCCAGTTGCCAGGATGCGTAAGTACCTATCTTTTGATTAAAGAACTACCTAATGTAATTATGGGACTGAGTTGTCTGATGTGGGAGTGGAATCCTGAGGGATGTGGTACAGAGACGAATTGTCTTAAGGTTTCAAGTTTACTGAAATTATTAGGGACATCGAAAATATGAAAGCTTGTTGGTGGGGACAATACTTACTTAATAAATACATAAATATAAATAGGATTAACGTAGGTACTATATTTTATAATTTATCAGATAATGCAATTTTTCGTACGGATGACAAAAAACGTGAGTAGCTTAGAAAATCAAACAAATGTTCAACACCAGTTTCCAGAAAGTCGTGAAAATTTTCCCAAGTTATGGCATATTTGTTTGTAAAAAGTTCCAACACACGCCAAATTAATGTGTGTTAATTGAACACGTGAGCACGTGGAAATGTTTACTAAACACTCAAATTGTATTACTACATAATTGATTATTAATTAGCTAGTTTGTACAGTCAACAACACATCAGTATACTATAGACCACAAGCCTCAATGGATTTCGAACTCTGATTTAGGTCCATATTCAATTGACGTAACATTTTGTGGTAACTGTAAGGGCTTGTTCCAACGGAGACATCCCGTTTTTTTTAGGATCCCGTTTATATATATAACGGAATGTTCGATTATTTATATCTATATATATAAAAGAAAGTCGTGTTAGTTACTTCGCTTATAACTCAAGAACGGCTGAACCGATTTAGCTGAAAATTGACAGGGAGGTAGTTTAGAGCCAGGAGAAGGACATAGGATACTTTTTATCCCGTTCGAAATAAAAAAAAATCTGCTTATTTATTGCCATTAAGGCGGAACAAAGTTCGCCGGGTCAGCTAGTATCGTATAAATAATCGAACATTCCGTTTGCAATGTCCCGCAAAAATCGGTGCTTTCGATTTGTAATTCGAATTTCAAACACACACTTGTGTGTTCACATGACAGTACAGTTTTACGGGATACCGCAAAACTGGACTTCCATGGGAACGATCCCATAATAATTATTCCTTTACTAACTTTCCAGTTACATCGTCCCTCTTCGCGCCAGGAGCGTAGGAGGAAGAAGGATGACACTCGTTAGGCTTCCAGCTCCAATGGCGATGGACAGGCCACTGTCAGCGAAGGCGCTGCTCTCTAGGTGGCTTATGATATTAGATATACGGTAAGTCATTATCAAAGTCTTGTAGTCTCTACTTCACAGGAGCCTTACCCTAATTTCGTCGTCGTTTCAGTCAACATCCACTGCTCGACAAAGCCGTCCCCAAGAATTTCCATAACGACTGGTCCTGCGCTTCTCGCGGCCAGAGGGCATAGTGTGAATTTACATAAACGCGCTCACTAGTGAGCGCGGCTAAAAATGACATTAAATGTATCACGGATTGTACAGCGCCCCTAGCGGGAATCGTTCAAAAACTAAAATTTTTAAACATTTTTTGATGTAAACTCAGACTCAGCCCACAGATCAATAATTTACCAGATCCAAAAGAATTTGACCAAGTCCCTACGCAAGTCATACATTATTTAATTGAAGATCTTCAGAACAACTTCGTTACTCCTAAAAATTATAATTTTGGCATAGATAGCTTGAAAACGACAGACTGTCATTTCCTAAAAAAATATAATTCCGTGCTTCGGATGGCACAAAAATGTGCCCATAGAATCTTATTACGTGCCAATCAAATGGTAGCTTATAGTCTGTCAATAACTTAATATATACCTAATCGCGAATAGTGAATCCTTCTGAATCAAATGACAATAGTTTTCTCACTATCATTTGACAACGTATCCAATTTCTCTAATCAAATTGTCACAATGAAACAAACAGATTTGTCAGACAAAAGCGACAATAGATCTTTTGTCCCTTATTTGCAGACCATTTCTATCCAATTACACGAAATTTTACTGAGAAATCGGAGACAAAGGGCTTTGGAAACACCACGTTCATCAGTATTAATTTACTTAGTTACTTTATATTTATTTGATTCTTCTTTCTTTATGAAATTCGTACTAAATCATTATTTAAACTTTCCTAAAAATAGGCAGTCTGGATCTCAATCTACGTCTGTCTTTTTTTATCGGGTTTCTCTTTTTGGGATTTCTTAACTTACATATTTAGGATCGAATCTCTAAAAATAACACGCATATTATACTTACTTAACCTCGACCGTCTGCCTTTGTCCAACAGTGGACGTCATTTGACTGAAACGAACGAACGACTGACTTAAGGTCCTATATCCCCTAGATGGGGCAGAGGGCGTCCACATCCACAACAGTCCTCCATCGCGTTCGGCCTTAAGCTTCGCGTTTGATCTCGCTCCAGGTCTTGCCGATCTTCTTCGCCTCGTCTGCCACAGTGCTCCGCCAAACTTGCTAGGGGCGACCACATTTGAATTTTCCTTGGCAATCCAATCCAGAGCCTGCTTGGGGATGTAATCGGGATTCCTTCGGAGAGTGTGGCCTATCCAGTTCCAGTTCCACTTGCGGCGCTTGATCTGGCTGGTCGATCGGAATTTCGTGGCAGCAAAAACGAATGAACGAGCAATGTCATTATTATTAAATTGGTATCTACCATTTCCAGGTTACGCGAAGATCCAACTCCTGGTGAGGAGGTGGTGTTCATAGACGTCAGCGATCTCCAGCCGTCACATGTGAAGAACCACTTCAGGGGCACATATTGGAAGGACTTCGTTTGGTGCATGAAGGTAAAAGAAAATAACTTTCACTGAGCCAATTCAATAGAAGACCCGTGGTCGCATGAGACCGCGGTAACAATTAATTTCGATTGTGTCTCAATTCGCTGGTACTTGAAGGGCTACGGCTTTGCTTCATACTCAACTATCGATTTATAATCCATGAAAACTTACTTAGTTTCCTTACGTTTCTCGCATTTGTCACAATCAATTTAAATTGTGATTTTCCGGTGATAAAAGTGAATCATTTTCATGCGTCACTTCTCATTATGAGCAAAGAAGAAACCTGTGTTAAAATAAAGAATATGTAGGTGAAATATAATAATATGGATATCGTACTCGTACCTACCTACTCGTTATTGTTTTCACATCACAAAAAATGACAGTGAAATAACATGAATTGACAGGCACAAATTTTGGCGGTCTATCTCTTCATTGCGATCCCTTAGATTGAGTTGCACCCACCTAACTTTAACGGTAATTTTAACGTTAACCGGTGTTTTTTGTATGGATTTTGACAGGTTTTTGACGTTTGTGAATTTTAAAGTATGATGGTGCCAGCCTTAGACTAGGAGAGGTAACTTCTTTTACCGAAAAATTTGTGGTAGTTTTAGCTTCCAGATCGAAAGCATGTCAGTTCAAAATGCTGAACACTGACCCTCCCAAATCTAAAGCATGTCAGTTCCAGATACTCAACACTGATCAATAATCCAAACATCTCCATTCCAGACAGCATACCCGCTCCGCTTCACGGAGATCCACGTCATCAACACACAGCGCTTGAAGACCATGTCTCTCCTACTCTTGCACATCGGCCTCCATCCCTGGAAGCGTAAGGTCCTGCACATCCACTCCAAGGCTGAGGAGATTAACCAGGCCATGGGGTTTGATTATTTTCCACCGGAGAGCCTGCCACATGAGTATGGGGGGAAGGCTGGTGCTATGAAGGATCTCAATGGTAAGTCTTGGTTTTGATGAGCTCTGGTGGTGGACGATGGCAGTGGAATAGAATAAGAACTGACTGCTAGAAGCTAGAAGCTTACGAGAAATAGTTCTTTCTCATTGTTCTCATTTCCATTTGGGTCAAAATTCTGGGACCACGAGAAAACAGGGGCTAAAAGCAAATAGTTATGTCATTGTGCCTATACAATGAAGCACCTGGAAAAAATAAAAAGGGGCAAATAAGAAACAGTTGGCTATTTTATTCTTAGAAGGACGTTAGTTAGTTACTTCTGAAAAATAAAACACATGTGTGTACCTTAAAGACTGTGGATTAATTTAAATATATCGTTTGTTTTCTCAAGTGCTTGTTTACTGTTCTGTACTTCTGAAATGTGTGTCTCAAATAAGAAGCAGAATAGCTACATACAGCTCTGTATCTGTTGAGATTGATCATGACTCAAACTAGCTCAATTTCACAAATTCTAAATCAAAAACCTTATCTCTTTCACAGACGAATGGACAAAGAAGCTCCTCTCCAACTCAAAGTGGCTGGAATCAGAAGAACGCAAGTTCTACGACACAGAACTGAAACCAGAACTAGACACTCGGTCTCGACACCGCAGCGCCGTGCGCCTGCGAGCAAGCAACGGTTCTTATGACATGATCACACGCACGCACTCGTGTAGATCTTTACATAGGCATGATGACTTTGATGAAGGAACGTATGGCGCGTATAGGACTTTGAAAGTGTCTTCGGATAGTGATTTCTACGTATAAGTGAGGAAGAACCAGAAGATGGTTTTTGCTGAGTTGTGCGGGAACCACTGATCGATCCAATGACGTCATGATCACACGCACGCACTCGTGTAGATCCTTTCATAGGCATGACGACTTTGATGAAGGGACGTACGGTGCATACAGGACTTTAAAAGTGTCTTCTGATAGTGATTTCTATGTATAAGTGAGGAAGAACCAGAAAATGGATTTTGCAGTGTTTTTGCGCAATGTTTTTTCCCAATGATATCGCGCACATATTTTGCAGATTTTGGAACAGACACCCTGCTACGTATAAGTGAGGAAGATTATAGACATATTTATGTAGGTCTTGGAATAGACGATAAAGGACAGTGTCTTAATACAGACACCTTGGAGGAAATTCTAGACAGTTGTAGCGATGGGATACCTAAATAAGAAGTGAAATGGAGTATGCCATCCTAAATGCAGAGCTTTGCAATAATACCTACTCAATTGAGACAAAAAAATAATAGTAAGTGCCTTCTATTAATGCACGAGCAAAAGCATCTTTGTAACAAAGCGAGTGTTGTAAAAACGCACAGGCGTAGGAGTGTTTGTTTAAATGCTTTTTCGTTCTTCAAAGAAACTGCCTGGTATATTGAGGAAAGTTTTCTTTACAATACAAGTGCACAGTTGGTTTATCTTTTTCCATCTTGCCAATACCATGACAAGATAAAGAGTGCCCATTTTTTAAGACTATGAGATTGTTTGATATAATACAATAACCTCTACTGTACCTAATTTTGTATTTGTTAGAATCTCATCCAAATTGTACAAATTAAATTATTCATAAAATTAAAGTTTTGTTATTTAACCACTTTTTAAAACACTTCCAAGTCTCTAATAGTTCTATAACAAAAACAAGTCTTCAGATAAAATAGCAGTAAAATAAAGAGCCGTACCTATGAATAGACGTAAGTAGGCTTTCAGCAGATAAAGCTGAAAGCATAGAGGAATAACAATAGCAATTAACCGTCGCAACAATTTATAGGACCTAGTTTCTAGTTAAATAATATGTAGACTCTGCCTGCTGTTTGAATTAAGTTACAAAAAATTAATAATTTTCTTTTCTAATTTCTCACCGTAGTAATAAAAGTAGGTATTTTTAGACATCAGTATCGTTATCGGAGGTTTCCGGCTACTGGGACCGCGGTCCTAGTTAATTAACTAGGACCGCGGTCCCAGTTGCTGGATCCATAAAAAATAATTGTCACACTACACTTTTCTTTCTTGTGAAGATAGAGATATGATTATTTGATACGGGTTCTATGAAATTCCCGCCGCTGCAACTCCTGTGTAGCCAGGGTCTACAGCGTTGATAAAAACTCAATGAGAGTTTTGCTTTCTCCCATACAAACATGTAGGTCAAGCTGGATAAGCTGGCTACACAGGAGGTTTGCAGAGGTGGGAATGTTCCGTTAAGTCATTTCCGTTAAGAATGTTCCGTATGCTTATTTCGTTCACCAAACCTAACTAGACATAAAGTATAAAATCGCAGTGCAATTTGGCCGAATGCAGCAGTGAAAGGCTTCGAGTGTCTGCCTCTGAGAGCACGAAATGAGTTAGTACTCGTACGTGTCGATGCATTTACACTGCACGATGCTTTAATTTAAATTTTAAAACACCAAAAAAATTTTAAGAAGTGTCAAAATTTTACGCCCTTATTAATTATGATACTACTGTAGTCTAAGTTGATAGCTATTCTTTTAATTAAATTTAACGGTAGCTTGCTTGTGTTGGTCTTAATTTCAATTTTTTTTATACATTAGGTAGGTATCGTTTACAAACAGTAATTTTAACATTTGGTAGGTATGTAGCCCGCTATTTTCTGTAGCAGTAATTTGCTTATTGGTCACCTATCTAATTCACATAGCAAACTAACATAATGCCAGTCTGTATTAAAATCAGGAGAGATCTGCTCTAACATAAAATATCTTGAATAAACAGCAGATACGAAGGTAAATATTATAGTTACCGAACACTCAAAATGCAATAATAATAAACCACATTTGCAGTTATATGCATTTCGGGATAGAGCCCACGCCAAATGGCGCTCACAGTGAAAGGCTGAAGCTAAGTGCTCGTAGAGCTCATAAGTAGCGGGTATTTACACGGTACGATGTTTAATTGAAGACTTACAGTTACATTTTATTCTCTTCTGATATTTATCAATACAGCTATGGTATGTCAATACTGGTACCTAGCTTATGAACGAAGTTATCAAATATTTACGAATCTGCAAAGTTAGATACGTTTTTCAGCACAAACAAGTAACCTATTGCATAGTACTTTATTAACTTAAATAAAGCTTAATTATTTTTTACCTTTCTATATTAAAAAACTATCCTCTTCCCTAGACGTCTGTAAAATATCTCTTTACAACAATAATTTCACCAAAATACCTAGAGTTGTTTTTACTTTTTGTGTTTCTTACAATAGTTAGTGTTCAATAAAGTGTATCTACTACTATATTTTAATTTAAAAAGTAGAATTTATATCCAATAATTGAAAACCAAAAAAATCCCTACAACTTCCAATAAACAAAAAACAACATTACAAAAAATGTAAGCACTAAATCAATAATCACGCCACACTGGCCAGTCAGATCAAGTCAGATGCATCAGGAGATAGACGCCAAATTGCACTCGTACTCAGTGAAAGGATGGAGCTAAGTGCACGAAGAACACAAAACCAAAGAGGCATTTACACAGTACGATTTCTGCTAAGATTTCCTGTCATAAAAGGCTCACTAAGTTTATGATTGTGGTTGCTAAGCTACTAAAATTAATAGGCTAGATTGAAGTAACACGTTTTTAAGCAGTTCTATCTTGGAAATATTGGTTGATGGTGTCTCAAGTACCTACCTGATTACAGAGGCGAAAATAGACAAACTATTTTAGCATCAGACTCCTGATTGCCCTCCCTCCCTATTAGAGAGGTTGCTTGGTAGAACTCCATCAACACACTCTACTACAAGCATTTAGCTAAGCTAAAGAAGTTAAACGACGACTTCATAAAGGTAGCAGGAAGGCGCTGGATGCAGGCCGCCAACAACCGCCCATTGTGGAAATTATGGGGGAGGCCTATGTTCAGCAGTGGTCGTCCTATGGCTGAAAATGATGATGATGAAGAAGAAGTTAAAAGGAGTACCTACTACTAATATTTATACCAAAAAAATCTAGTTATTTTTTAATTCATATTGGGGTTAATCCTCGTTAACACAATCGTACAGTGTAAATGCCCCCACAAATCCGCCACAGAAAAAGTAGCGGGTAATGAGCGATCGGCCGACAAGCGCCGACCGACCGCGCTTTCTAATCGCGAACGTAAAAATGCTCGCAGCTGTGGACTAGTGGATACCACAGTATTAGATGCTTTGATCTTTAAAGATTTTTCTTTCAAATATCTCCATGGGCTAAACTTGACGGCAGTTCCTTAATTACGCTAAATATTAAGCCCGCCGACAGCCTGGCGGCCTGGTGTCGGCGGCTTTATTCCAAAATAATCATGTCGATGAGTTATACTTTCCATGACTTTTGACAACATAGCGGGTTTGGAAGATAGAGTCCAGTTTATCATCGATTGCAATAGGCAACTAGCTCTGGCTTGCTGCTTCGCCCGCGATTTCGGTCTGTTACAGAAAGAATAAATGAATGTAAGAAAGAAAGAAAGATACATTTCTTACAATGGACATCACACAAATACAGGCAAAGTGCAACGGGACCTCACTCAGCAATCAGCATAGGTGCGTGGCCCACGGTGACGAAAGACGCTGGTTTTCAGTTATCCCATGCCGAGTGCGAATGTCTTGTTGACTTTTGTTAATTAATTTTGGCAAATAATAAAACCAATATCGTCCACTGTAGAGTAGATTTAAGAGATACTGCTATACCTACAAATTACACGCATGTCGCAGGCTCAGTGCATTAACTAATCCTTTTAGATACTACTATTTTGGCATCATAATGCCAAATCACCCATAATGCAACTTCCAAAAATGCCAGTGTCGTTGTATGTGGGATGCCACACAACGTGGCTCCGATTGACGTACCATCGTCTAAACAAAGTCGAAGCGCACCTATTTTATGTTGCCCTGGTACTTTTAGTAAACATAGGTGCGCTTCAAAGAATAGTTTAGGTGCGGTTCATTAGGTGCGCCTTAAAAAGGGTGCGCTTCGAGGAATGCCTCGTCTAAACGTATTTCCCAATCGAAAACCGAAGGCTTCAGGGCGTGAAAATAATACTGAGATATTTCACAATAATCACTATAATGTTGCTATCTTTGCCCAAACAGTTTTGTGCCACGTGAACAAAAATACTGGGTCTTATTGTGTGGGGTTAGGGGTGATATTGGAATGCGTAGTGTAAAAACATTGGAGCATCAAAAACGCAAGCAACGAATCAACAAACGTGCGCTCACGCAATGCGTCGCGCACTAGTAAAGATAATGAAGGTGACCATGGTCTATGGAAATTTGTGGACTAACAATAATGGTGCAAATACACTATGCGGAAAATTGTCCAAGTCGAAGCGCTAGCCCACACACCGAAATATGGGCGACGCATGGGTGGAGGAAGGAGAAAGTAACCGAGATGGTGTTCACACTATTACGTCTTGGCCAATTTTCCGCATAGTGTACATGCGCCATAAAAATAGTCATTATTTTTATATCCTGTGCAAATATTTCAATTTATTAATTAATTTTGTTTACATACTCGTATAATAGGCAGTAACGAAGTCACAAACTGAAAGTGGTATAATAAATTCTCAACAATTTTCAAGCATTTAGGTGTATTGTATTGAACACGGTATCATAATTTGATTTTGAGGTAATTAGATCTAAGTAGAAAGTGAAATTATATTTATTACTTTACGATTTTGCTTATTAATTGTTTAGTTATTTTGTTGTTCTATGTTTTCAGCTTACTTAGAAATTTTTATTACTAAAGATAGTTCAAAATAATTATATCAAGTTTTAAAAATATGTAAAATTGTTACTATCTAATAAAATAACAAACAAACTTACCACTTCTTCTGCATCGTGACACCCACAATGACACCTGCATGTCAAGATGTGAAACCTGTAAATGCAGTTTCATTTAATATCTATTTTCATTAGAAAGTTGGTCTGAAAAAGATATAGACTTCGATTTGAAGCGATAAAGTTATAGTATCTGATGTTTCTTTCTGCACAGTTTTTAGAAGTCCATTCGTCTAAAGATTTAACTATACTCTATTCTTAATATTATAAATGCGAAAGTAACTCTATCTGTCTGTCTGTCTGTCTTGCTTTCACGCCTAAACCACTGAACCGATTTTGATGAAATTTGGCATAGAGATAGTTTGAGTCCCGAGAAAGGACATAGGATAATTTTTATCCCGATTTTTGAAACAGGGACGCGCGCGATAACGTGACAGACAAAATTCCACGCGGGCGAAGCTGCGTGCGGAAAGCTATTAGTTTTATAAACCATGGCCACTCTAATGAAAAACTAATGTCGGTCTACATTGCATCGCGCCAAATTTAGCAACTCTTACATAATTATGTGGTTGAAAATCTGTTGTGTATCATGCAACGAATTAAGCGACGTCTAAAGAAAAAGTTAAGACATGCATGAAATATGAAAGATTTCAGAATAAAATTGTAGAGATTAAAATTCCTCCGCTCTTGAATTTGTTGCTAAACTAGAAATTCGTACTAACATTTTATTTTTCGTTTCAATATTTTTTCACTTTTAAAGAAATATTAATTAAGTTTTTCTAGAGATATTTTATTTACTTATTAGAATCAGA